ATATATATGCATAAGCATATTAGATGTTAATACGAGTTTTCATACTTACTGGTACTTTGTTCTTGTTTTAAACAAATAGTGTTTAATTGTAAAATATTTAGCTGTCACAGTGAAAGTTGACATTTTTTACTACTGGTAATTTTCTTTTTAGTTTAGTTTTCGTAAGGACATAAAGAAATTTTAGGTGCTTGCAGAATGTTGCTCTTCAGCTTTGCCTCATCCGCTGACAGTTTTATCTAGAGTAGAGGCCACGCTGCATGGTTATGGGTTGATTAGGCCACACAATTATTAATTTCTTTAATTTTTCTGTGTCACACTTCTCTGCACTGGTGATGCTGTTCTCCACAGACAGACTTAGTGCATTCTCTGGGATTATTCAAAACTGCTGTTTAAAATGTTTTTTACAATATCTCCAAACTAATATCCCAGTTTTCTCAGAATATTTCCACTTTATGCATCAGTATGCTTTGGATTGTAACAAATAAAACTGACAAAGCTGCCAGCTCTGATTTTGTGTTCATAAATGCATTGCAGCCAAATGGAAACATAGTTCAATTTTAGATAAACAAATGTGCAAAAAAATGTGGGAAACAACTGAAAGTATGAAATAATGAAACATGCTCTAAAAGTGCATGATGTGCAGTTTATGAACTAAAAAATAAGACTTTATGTCAATGAAAGGATTTTCAGAGGGATTTAAGTTGATGACATTCACATTTCAACCAAGCAGTTTGACTGTAAATGTTAAGTTTAGTGATGAATATCTAAAAAAAGCAAGAAAAGTTTGAGACTGATTGTCACAGCGCTGAACTTCCATCAGGGTGGTAAATGAATTTATCACATCTGGATTGTTTACATGTTTACCATTGTTTTACCTTTGAAAAAAATAAGCCAACATTGTACAGCTTTAAGTTTTCAACACTGAGCTTTCATCTGATGTGGATATTACAGTTGTAACGAAATTGCTAAAAAATCTCAAGATCCTTGAAATTATGAGCATTTGTTATCAAAAGAGATTTATGGATCAATTTGTGTTTTAATGAAATGTTTTGCCACTCTGAAAAGAACAAAATGTCAGCAAAAATGTAAAACAAAAAAAAAGTTGGAAACTCAGTTGTAACAGATAAATGGAATGGAATGAGACAAGAATAAATAAATAAACATTTTGATTTTTGAGCAAAATGAACAACTATTGCTCAAAAAATGACTCAGATGTTGTAGTTTATTTTAATAAACGTTCAACGTTAAAAGATGTTTAAATAAACATTGTCAGATTTTCTTGCGTGGTGTTCCAAATGAAATAATCATGATTAAGATTTGTTAATTCAGCTCCTTTGTACCAAATCAGCCATATGATAGTTTGTTTAGTAAAAATAATAATAATATTAATAATAATTTAACATCTCTAGTTATATCCATACTTTAAAGATAGGAAAATTCCCTTTTCTTTACTAACAGAATGTGCATTTATATCATGAAACTTGAGCTGACAGCTTTGTTGTCAACATGACACCAGCATGTTTTAGAAACAATATAAAGATACTGATGTACCTGAACTAACTCAGATCCTCACAAAACACTCAACATGTTGTCAGTTTCACATGTCACTTTACATTGATCTGACACAGGTGGAAACAAAAACAACAAAAGACATAACACACACCAGTGTGTACCTTGCAATACAACCGTAACACAGCTTCAGTGTTTGCTGTTTTCTTCTCCGACACCTCTGTAAGGTACATCTTACAGGAACCTTCTATTTCCTGTAAGAAAACCTCAAATTATCCTCTGGCAGTCTCAGAAAGAGAAATTTTCTGTTGTCTTTTGTTTTTATCAAATTAGTTGCAAATAACATAAAACTGAAGCATCAAATATTTGTTTTATTATATATATATATATATATATATATATATATATATATATATATATATATATATATATATATATATATATTAATCCCTCGCTACTTTGTGGTTCATTTTTCAGTCTTGCTCTATCACGGTTTTTCAAAATAAGATTAGACATGACGCACAGTTGTCTGATTGATGGATGAGCCTCACAATTGACAAGAAAAATGTATTTAAAATAAATAATTTTAAATTACTTAGCACCTGCTGCACCTGTGTGCCGCTCAGAGCTGCAGGAGAAGCTTCCTCCTGCAGAGTGTCATATATCCGCTCTCCAGTGGAGCAGTGGGCGTGGCTGACAGAGAGCACTGGCAGATGGCAGAGAGCAGCCGAAGACAGAGAGCAAGAATAATTACATTATGTGCTTTTTTAGAGCGTTTAGAAGAAACATTGCTTAGAACAGTGCAAGAGTGTGTGAATGGTTATATATATATATATATATATATATATATATATATATATATATATATGAGCTCTAGGTAGGTAAGGCACAGAGGTTTTGTGTTGTTTAGTGTTAAACTATTTGCACTAAGATTATGCTACTTTCTAAATACTATGTACTTTAAACTTGACATCTCCACCTACAGGGAAGTGTATTACAAAGAGTTGGGTATGTGATGGAGACATTGACTGTGAAGATCGTTCAGATGAAGAGTCGTGTGAGTCAGCTGTCTGCAAGCCACCCAAGTACCATTGTGCCAATGAAACCTCCGTGTGCCTCACACCTGACAAGATCTGCAATAGCAAAGTAGACTGTGCTGACCGTTCAGATGAAGGACCCATCTGTGGTAATATTTGTCAGTTTATTTATTTTTTTGTTCTTGTTTTCTATCATCCTAAAAATATCATTAGTTACTCAAGAAAATATGTTGGTTAAAGCAAAAGGACTGGAGAGCATCACAGGCCTACAGATGATTCCAAATTCAACCACCTTGAATATGTTGGCTGCTGAAGCATGTTATTGCTGTGGGTTGGCTTCCAATAAGGTTTCTCGTCTTTGCTGTTAAAGCAGCCTCACAAAGCTGCATGCCAATACATCCCAAAGGTGTTTGATGGTTTGGCTTTAGGCATGTCAATGTGTCAGCAAGCCAAATGAAGTAATGACTGCTGGTCCTCTGCGTCATGCACAGTAATGTGTGTATGTATATATATATATTTGTATATGTACTGTATATTTTTTTACAGAATTTTGGAAACATTGGTTTGTCTAGAACATTAACTTTTTTCCCTACTGTTTTGTTTTGTTAAAGGAACTGAGCCTATTAATATTTCAAATCAATAAAGACACTTTTTTTATATATATAACTGTAAAGGTATTTTAGTCCAAATTAAGTTAATACATTTTTTTTGTCATCCAAAATTTATTCTTGCATTTGATTTAAAAGTATATAAAAAATGGCAGATATGTCAAACCTGTATATTCAAAAAAATGGATCTGTTTTTTGTTTTCATGTTTATAATCCAGCCACTTTACAAGAATATGATCTAAAAATGTGTTAATAAGTTATATGCAAATTTAAAGGCAAAAAAAAAAAAAAAAAAAGTCCAAAGATTCACGTTATGTTGCATTTTTCCAACTGTCAAACATTTAGGCATGTTGATCTTCTAACCCATGAATATGCATTTAATTAGATTAGCAATCATGATTCAAATCACACTCATCTTCATATGTCATTTGGACTTCATAAACCTGTTTTATTCCTTCATCCATTCATTTATTGATGTATTCATTTATTGTATATTTGATAATGCTGACAAGACATTTCGGCGTAGATTTGCCATATACAGGATGAAAATGTCAAAGTACTCAAAGTAGTCATTGCATAATTAGCTCTAAAACCACATCATTTCATAACCCATACCCTGCAAACAGACACAAATACAGGATAAAACACAAATGTTTTGTGCTGCTGTGGATGGTAAAAACAGTTGAGGCACACATTATTAAAATGAGTATGTTTTCTGCTGAGGATTCTTGCCGCACTAATACAAACTGATACTCAAATCTGTCATACTCTGCTTTATTATGGGATAGCAGGAATGTTGAAACTGTCCCAGTAGAGTCCTCCTCTGTTCCATTTTACACTTGGCACCTAAATAATGACAAGTCAGCAGTATGTGTTGTCTTAGGGACCTGAGACTAAACATAAAGAAAACCTTCCCTCTTAATAAAGGCAAATGTGCAACTGTTCATCCAACAGTCTTCAGGGAGGCTAAAAGGCCTCTCATGTGACTTCTCCAGCCATTTAATCTGGTAAAGCAGGCAGTGTAAACATCAGGGCTCATTTTATAAAGCATCACTAACCAACCCTCACTGAGATCCTTCGAGACCCTGAAGTATTATTCTAGCTGAAAAGGGAGCTTCTGGCTCATCTCAGACCATTAGTTTGTGTTTAGTACCTTGTCAAGGGTCTGCAAGATTTGCACCAGTTCAGCATGATTCAGAGCCAATGGTTTCAATCATGACCACATCAGCCATTCTTGTATATATTAGGAGAGCACAGTTTCCATCCCTCTTTAAAAGTAGCCATAATCACATTGTAAAAGTGGGTACCATATTATTTTTATGTCACTACAATTGTTTTACACTTTAAACTCATAATCAGACCCTCAAATGTTAATGTATGAAGGTTCTGTGTAAAAAAAATAAAATACTTTCACATTGGTTAAAACATGGATTTAAGGAATAATCATATACTATCATCACTTAGAGCTACCCCAACATAGTTTTTTTTTTAGCTCTCACTTTTTACTGTCTACCTGGCATGTTTCTAAATGCTTCTACACTTTCTGCACCACAGATATGTGTCTCGTAGCCAGAGGGGGCTGCAGTCACCAGTGCACTGTGGCACCAGGAAAAGGGGTTGTGTGCTCTTGTCCCCCTGGACTTCACTTGGACTGGAGCAACAAGACATGTGAGGTGGTGGACTACTGCAGCCGTCACCTGAAGTGCAGCCAAGTGTGTGAGCAGTACAAGACCACAGTGAAGTGCTCCTGTTATCCTGGATGGATACTCGATTCAGATGGCGACAGCTGTCACAGCTCAGGTAGCAGACGCTGGCTTTTTATTGTTTCTTTCATGATGCCACTGGCTGTTTTTGTTCTTCGACTTCTCAGTAGGACCAAATTTTATGTTGGGGCAAGCTGTATCCTATTCAATCTTTAATTCTTGACGTATTTGTTGTGTAGAGCTTGTGACTTCAAAAGAGATGACCAGTAATACTGACTGATGCAAGATTGTTGTTGTTTTTGCTGGAATACCATACAAGACAAACTTCAGCATACCGGCATTTTACGTTAGGGTGTTTGAGTGATAATACTGTGGAGAGAGGGTTGTAAGCCTAGGCATGAATGTTGATTTAGAGCAGGTCAAATTCAATCATTTTAAAATCTGAAGAGGCACCATAGTGATGCGTCCTGTCGGTTTCCATCTGCACTGATGCTGAGCGGAGGAAACGTGTTCCCTCTTCCCCAACCAGAAAGCTTTGATGATTCATTCAGTTGTGCAGATATTCACCTCAGGCCTAACCCGATAGTACAGGCATTTTGCCAGAGCAGCACATCAAAAATTCTAAATCTGCTTTTCTGATTGCTGTTACTGGATAATCCATTTGATGAGACTGCTTGGAAGCACTTGAAATACAATAGGGGCACACATGCTGTTGGCTTGTCACATTCTGATTTATGGACCTTGTTTTGATGACTTGCCTCTCTATTTCACTCCATGATGGATGGCAGTTTCAGTTTTAATTATATATTAACACAGAGAAAAAATAAATATGTGCAATGTTATTATGAAGCTGATTGCAGTCGTAGTCAACACCTTCAAAGCAAAAAAATAATAAAGAAAGAAATAAATACTCTGCATTGAGTTAGAATGCTCTAGTTTATTTAGCCCTTAGCTCAGATTTATGCATAGGAATATTTTCCATGGCACAATTTGACCCTCTGAAACACGTACACAAGAATCAAGACACAATAAATATATTGTATGTGGTTTTATTACAAAAGGGGGTATTTACAAAATATTTCCAAACAAAGGAATGAATTACGAATATGATGGTTCTAGTAATTTGATGATAAAAATGGTGAGTCATGAAATATTTTCAGGTCTAAAATGTTGGTTTATGTTTTAGATTGCTGTGGATGTAGAGTGGTAAAACCCTTAAGCTGACTAACCTTAAGATAATCAAGATTAAAAGGTTTAGCAATGTTCAGTCAGATCATCTGGACAGTTTCTTTATTTGTTTTATTTTTCCTGAGATGTTTCATCCAACGGACTGAAGGATGAAGGATGAAGCGTCTCAGGAAAAAAAAAAAAGGAAACTGTCCAGATGACCTGGTTTTGTACATGGATTACTGAGCATGAACTTTGGTGTTTTTAACCATGTTGGCATGGTTGCCTTAGATGAGTTGATGGGGCAGAGGACAGGCCCTGGAAACCATCTTATCATCAGCAAACTGTTTTGTTTTTCCACTATTGGAGTTGGTGCTTGTGGGACTCCTGTTTATTTATTGCTCCTTGGACTGAACAAGTCCTTTGGATGAAGGACAAAATGTGTGTGTTTTTGTGCGTGTGTGTGTGTGTGGGGGGGGGGGGGGGGGGTTGTCCAGATGACCTGAATGAACAGTCTTGGATTTATACTGGATTATTGAACATGAACTTAGGTGTTTACTCAAAATTATAAAGCAAAAAAAAAAAAAAAGTACTGCTGAATAACGTTTATCTGTTAATAACCCAGAATAGAGGGTATCCAATAAATATGCATGGAAACCCACGGTCCCTGAGAAAACCCACACAAAAATTAGGAGAACATGCAAACGCAATGCAGAACGTCCCCAGGTCCAAACTGGAGGTTGAACCTAGAACCGTCTTGCTGTGAGGCCACATCGCTAACCACTAACTTGTTGTGATGCCCATGTTGTATCATGCTAGAAACTGTTGTTTTAGTATTTTTTTGCAACTGGCTGAGGATTGTAAAGCTCTCAACTGTGAGTGCCAGAAGTTTTAGGCATCAAGTATTTAGTTTAAATCATCAGACTGAGCATGCTCAGTGTTCACAGGTTTGGGTGGATGGGTCTCTGAAAAATGATAACTAAATTATCTAAATGTAACTACAATGTTTTGTTGTGTAACTATAACCAGCAATGGGGTGGTGGAAAGAAGATAAAAGAGAAAACATTGTGACACCTGTTGAGTGCTGGGATTTAATAAGCAGCACGCGAACATCCATCCATTATCTTTACCCACTTCTTCCTTTCCAAGCCACGGGGGTCACTGGTGCCCATATACAGCAGTCACTGCACGAGAAGCAGGTTACACCCTGGACAGGTCACAAGTCCATCACAGGGACACATAGAGACAAACGAGACAACCATTCACGCTCTCACTCATGCCTGACAATTTAGAGTTACCAATCAGCCTAACATGTATATTGTTGGTCTGTGGGAGGAAACTGGAGTACATGGAAAAACCCACACATGGACAGAGAGAAAGTATAAACTCCACCCAGAAAGGTTGCCAGCAAGTATTCATTCCAGCAACTTTCTCACTGTGAGGAATCAGCTTCAAAAACAGTGCCAGCAGCTGAACAGTAAAACTATTTATATTGAGAATAATCCGAGTGCATTTAAATGTAGACAAATTGTTATGGATCAACAAAAAATGCTAGAGCATTTCTGCAACAGCAAGCCTTGCAGAGCATTGCTGATGTGCAGCAAATATTACCCAATACAATGATCCAAAAACAGCAACAAGTGAACAGACAACTGGGTCACAGATGAAAACTGCTATAAGGAAAGAAGTCAGAAGACATAGGACCTCACAGTTGGCTACATATGCTTTTGTGTAGGACCAGAATGGGTTGGTGAAGGCAGGGCGACTTTCTGCACAATCTTCTGCTTTAACATACAATATTACTTTGAAACACTGCTACCAACCACAAGCCATTCTTTCTGTTAAGTATAACACAGTGGCTATGTCTTTCTGTAAACTTGTTCTTGATTATTTATTTATTCATTAAAAAAAAAAGCTTTAAATAATATAAGTTGAACATTTGCGTAAAATAACAACAGCAATATAATGCCTCTAGACATTTCTCAAGCGTGTGTATTTATGGCAAGACCAGTCAGAAATGTTTAGTGGAAAACAAGTGGGTTTGCAAAATATTAATCAGATTGTTAAAATGAATCTAATGTGTAGTTTTTATTTGTATTTTGTTTTAGTGTTATCACTTGTGTCTTCAAGATTATATAGGAACACCTAAAAACAGAAAAAAAGCCAGACTATAAGTGCTACTTGTTTTATATATATATACATATATATATATATATATATATATATATATATATATA